CCAGGTTGGGCTGCTGAGATGCGCGTAGCAGATGCGGATGTACTTGGTAATACTTGAGGAGCAGCCTCTTCCTGTCTACTAGGTTGAGTAGGAACATGATTGTCACTGTTCTGCTTTCTCCCCCTTTCAAGGTGTAGCAATGTGTTGTGTTTTCCCTTGCACTCGCGACAAGAATACAGCGATTTACWCATATTAGATGTGTGTCTTGATGAAAGACAATTGAAACAGCGTCCTGCATTTCGGACAAACGTAAGTCTATCGGTTACTGACAGGTCCTTGAACTTATCGCAATAGAATAATCTGTGCATGCCGGGGCAACAAGGGCAAACTTCAGTCTCACTAGCAACAAACAGTGCCCTTTTCCCGGGTTGTGAGATATTTTTACTTGAAGCAGTAGCTGATGATCTCACCGGTTTGTTCTGAAGTGCATCCGAACCTTCTAGAGCTGTGCATCGACTTGCCAGGAATTTTTCTAATTCAGAGAACCTCGGTAAATCTGTGTTTCTCTGGTGCAATAGCCATCCCTGAGCAGAACTCTTGTCTAATCTAGAAGTAACGATTGTTATAAGCCACGCATCCCAGTGCTCAACRGGTTGATCCAATGCTCTGAGAGCTGCCACATGTGTTGTTACACAAGCAAATAAGTTCTGCAATGAGCTAGCTGGTGAATCGTCCATGTATGGACAGTTAAGAATAGAACGTACATGGGACTGAATCACCAGACTGCGGTTATCGTATCTCTGTTTTAGTAACTGAATCACTACCTCGTAGTTCCCGTCACATACTGGTGTCGAACGTACTAGATCAAGAGCAGGGCCATCTAAGCAGGAGCGCAGATAATAGAATTTTTGTGCGGCAGAGTATCCTTCATCTCGGTGTACCATAGCTTGAAAAATATCGAAAAACGATGACCAATCTTGTATATTTCCATTGAACCTTGGTAACGGAATTGGAGCGAGTTGCGTTCGGGTAGCGAGCGAGTTGTTTCCGAAGGAYACATTATGTCCCGTAGTACTAGGTGCCTTTTCGTGATTTATTATCTCCTGTATTTGTGACCTGATTGCAAAATAYTCACGTTCAAATATATCACGTTCAGCTTCAGATCCTTCCTGGTCATCAATTGCAATTAACTCGATTTGGCACTGAATTTCATCAAACTTACGATTGATTTGAGGAAGTTCTTCTTGTCTAAATTCGAGTAAAGAAACAGCTTGAAYGGTAGGATCAAATTTATTTACGAAAGTATTAACACGAGTAAGTGCAGCTTTGATAGTTCCTCGTTTCCGCCTTAATTCAGATAACGATCTTTTTGTATCTTCTTCCAACGTCATACTGAAGCGTAGATGAAGGATAGACAAATGAGAAAAAAGTACTCCAGAGTAKTACCTATATTTATAGTTATATTATTTGAAACGTAATAGGCTATAATACTATTTAAGATGTCATAAACATAAATGCGTATACCTTTATGTACTAGGAAAAAATGAAAATTCAATTTTAAATAATAAATTGAGAACTGGTAGAATATTGATCTATAATTGATTCTAAATTTATTGATTGACGTTCCTAAATTAAGCACAATTATAGATCACGTCGAGGTCACCATATGGACGGGCCGGGTGCGTATATTTGTAATACGCGAGCCCGATCACCGAAATAAAAACTACGCGCGCTACACTCACACACCGATCGACCTGTGTATGTGTGTATACGTGTATAGCAGTTCAATAGAGGTGGACGGGATCGCCGAGCAAGACTATTGAACGCTAGTSTGTGGTGGGTGTGTAGGTGTGTATATATGTGGTGTGTGGACTTAAAACTAAAATAAAAGGTAAYACGGTTTTTGGTAACTAAGTTGCTGTAATATACAAATAATTTAAAATACACAAAATAATATAAAAATCACAGCAACAAAAAAGGTATAGAAAGATATAATAATATGGCCCTTTTGGCCCAACAGGTAAAAATGTAATAAATATAGGGTGCTGCTATGCGAGCCCCTATATGAAAATATAATATAAATATAAGGCCGCTATTAGAGCGGTATACAAAATAATAATATAGA